TGTTTAGAAAGTGATCCTGTCCACAGCTGAGCACTGTCTATGTCGGGCATCCTGCTGAGATTCTACCAGCTGAACAGGCCAACAGCTTCCGCTGCTCATTTTACGGCACTACTGCTTCTCAAGCACTTGACATAACACAGAACCTACACAACTGAAACGGGGCTGACTACACAGGGCACTGTGCTTTGAGCTTTTGCATCCTCACCTAAGACCGACCAGAGGGAACCCCACCCCCCCATTTCTCATCAAGCACCACCTGGAGCACACGGCACAGATGGCTGCTGTTAAGAGATTTCAGTACGTGAACTGAATGATCTTCGGAAAAAAACATTTACTCAGTTAATTCCAGTCAATTCCAGATATGACTCAGAGGTGAACAAAGCAGAACACACAAGAAAAATCTGGACGGATACTGACATGGTTTGGGGTAACAGACGGGACAGTCAGTGGGAGTGAGCAGAGAACCCACACAGACCCAGGCGGGGTTACCAACATCCAGCTCAGTATGGACGGGCTGCTTATTGCTAAATGGTGCTCCTACAACTGGTTATTCAATGGAAAAAATTAAACTGTCTTAAACATAAAAAATGAAATTGCTGAAAAAAAAATCTAAGAGACTCATGCAATCTGCAGTTTTAAGAACAGAAGCCAGACAATTATATATGTTTGGCTATTTGGAATTCAAACTTTTGTAGGAAGAAATATACCATACTTCCTGGCAGGCAAGGGATGTATTGTAGGGAAAAATCTAATAGTGCAAATTCTTATAAACTGAAAAATGGACAAAGGATATGAACACACAGTTCACAGAACAGTAAATCCAAATGGAAAAATCCAAAAATTTGCAATTAAGGTGACAATGTAGTTCTGTGGTCACTCGTGGCAAAAATATAAATGGGCAGTAACACTACAAACGATAAACGAGAAAGTCAGCCTCACACACTGCTGGGAGCAATGTGCGAGCAGAGCCTTTTCAGAAAACTGAAAACTTTCACACAGAAATCGCACTCTGGGGGATACACCCCACAGAAGTGAAGCTACCGATACACGGAGACAGGTGTACAAGATACCACTGGCAACACTGGGGAAAAATTGTAAACAAAATCAATTCTCATCAGTGCGGAATGGTTTAACTAATCACAGTTCATCCGCATCACGGAACATCATGGAGCCATTAAAGGACTGAGTCAGCAGTGTTCCCGCTGGTCTAGGAGTCTGAGTATTGGTGAGAAGATGCAGAAACGTGCACACAGCACGATCCCACTTGTAAACGTGCACACGGATGTGTATGTGCTGTTAAAGCACCACGGAAAACACAGGATACGAACGCCGGGGCATTAATGTGGTTACCTGGGAGGTGGACAGTATGGAGGAAGAAAAAAGATAACCCAACAACAAAAACTCTCAAAATCGCCTGAGGTTAAACTGCTGCTGCCAAAGTGAAGAGCGAGACGCTATGTGGTCTTGTCGTGTGAGCGGGCGTGGCTCACAGAGGGACCTCCCGGAGTCGGTGCTTCCGGGGCTGTCCTGTCAGCGCTCACCTATCCATCTCTCCAGTTCCAAAGTGCTTCTACCCCGTTCTAGACAAGTGAAATTTGAATCCTTAATAAAATGTGAATTTAACTTTATAAAACATGAAAGACTTTGTTAATTGCTCCAGGTAGAAGGGGACAGACTCAACACAGGTAGTTGAGAACCCCGTACCAGGACGGTGCGGGAATACAAGCAACGCTGAAGAACAGGATGGGCGAGAGAAACGTGTTACATGGAGAAGTAGCTGCTTCAGCAGGAGAAAGTCACCGCCAGGGGCGGGGCGGAGGCCTCACCCCGCGCCCCCGGGAGTCTGGGGGAGCTCCTCCCTGGAGGCGGCAGAACGATGGGGAAGAGGCTGTGTTCGTAACATGAACACGAGGTACCAGAGAGAAGGGACGAGAGCAGAAAGGAGAAAGATTTTTTAAACACAAAAGAATGAAGAGCAGACGAAGGAGAAGCAGCTCAGACCAGGACAAGGAGACCAGAAACGAGGCGACGGCGGGAGGTTAGACCCGGGATGGGAACTCTTCTCCAGCCGCGCAGGAAGCATGCGGAGGCCCCACCTCGGGGCCAGATTCAGTAAGGCTGGGCCCCAACCTGCATGGCTTAGCCAGGCCCTAGACGGTGCCAGCCTGGGGTCCACACGGTGAGGTCCTGGATCTCAGGGGGCCCATGTTTGTGTGTGTGGGCCAACAGAAACAGAGGCAGGAACTTGCAAAGAACCACCACGAAGACACTTCTCAGACTGAAGGTCTCACTGCGCCAGGTTGAAAGGACTCAGCCTAACCCAGGCACGTTCTGGTAAAAAGCCCAAACACCAAGAGTAAAGAGGAGAGCCTCAAACCTCCAGAGAGGAGGAAGAAGTTTCCGTAGAAAGAACGTGAAAGGGTACAGACAGCGGACAGCAGGTCAGACCGGCACCCGCCACCCTAGAGCTGGCGGACTGGAAGGAGGGGCCCGCACTGCCACCCCGGGGGGAACGGGAGATTGAAACCGGGCGGCGGGGCTGAGAGCGGGTTTGAGGGAGCTTCTCAGAGCATAAGGGCAACAGAACCTGATGCTCTGGGTCTGGGCGTAGCGAGGCTGACGCCGACAGCCAGCAGACGTGACCTCACTCAGTAAAACCAGGTGCTGGAGGATGATCAGGCTGGGAGACTGAAGGAGTGTGGCAAAGTGAGAACTGTAAACCTGTCCTGGAACCCGGGAGGGAGAAGCTGAAGAGCCGTTTGGTTCAGATCTGCAGCTCACAAGCCACGGACTGCAGGAGTGGAGCTGAACGCCTGGCCCGCACATGGCTGTATCTACAAGGCGCTCCACAGTCTACCCATCAGAAAAGACACAATTTTCATGAGAAGGAGGCTGCCGAAAGACAACTTCCAAAATTGGGCACCTCTGGAAAATATTTTCATTTGTATTTTTCACTTCACAAGTGCCTAGAAATACAGCTCTGGTGACCTCGCCACAAACCCTGTGTGTGGGGAATGCGGCGCTACCTGCCCTCACCCAGGTGGGAAGACGTGGGCTCCTTCCACTCAGGGAAGGAAAGCGCCAAGCCCCGAGACCATGCGCTGAATGCAATCGGACAGAATTTCCAAAGTATGACTCTCCCCGTTTCCCACGTGCTGGATGCCAGCACCTCCCGACCGCCGCAGAGTCCTGCCCTCCTCTTCCTGGACACCCAGCGTCTTCCCACCTGAATCCGAGACCGGGCCAGGTACACGTTGGACTTCCACTCGGCCTTCATCTTCCGGTACTGGGATGACTTGGAGTGGACAAACTGCTTGCTGTACGGGGCACTGAGCTCCCCGGTGACTGTGCTCTGAAACGACTTGGAGGTGCTGGTGCTGTTCAGGGTGTGAGGCCTGCAGACAGTGGCACGTCAACAGGAAGAAATAAAAGGAAAACTGAAGATCTCTCTGAATGAGGCCCAAAGCCAGGTTGATTCAAATTCTTTCTGACAGGAACATACACAGAAAGCCGCCTAGCGGAGCCACACGGCAGGTGCTCGGGTGTGGTCGGCAGACACAGCCAGAGACAGCAGGGTTTGTAAGCAGCAGACAAGTCAAGCACAGAAACCACTAATATGCCTAGAAACCCTGGGCTGTACTATGTGAAGTTAAAACAAAATACCTTAACACAAACCTCTTGACATGGGCACTCATTTTAGGTTCAGAACGGGCACAACCTGTGGGGTTGACGGCAAGAGGCAGCTCCATGAGAGGGTTCCGGCCGTAGCGGAAGCTGTAGTTCTCACATGCCTCCACCCCGGGGAGCTGGAAAGAAGCAAAATAAACGAAAATTTAACTCATCTGATCAAGACCACAGGCAACCCTGAGCTGGCCCAAAGATGGCCCAACTGGAATCTTACGGAAATAACTTGTCAACGTTTTCAAAACACTCTCTTATCTCATGTTACCACCGCCAGCCCGCACACAGACAGGCCCGTGACATGATGGCCCATCTCTCCGTGTCCCGGGGGTACAGGCGAGAACATAGGGTTAACTTGTATGGTACAGTCTTTTCTAGACTATGTCTCTTGTGAACATCTCTCTCTAGAGACATGACAGGTACCGATTACTGAGGCAGGGCTCTTCCAAAGGAAGCAGCTCGGTACAGCACTCCATGGCTTCAGGGCTGTCCTCTGTTTCTCCAGAGAAAACCCACCAATGGCTTTTTTCTTGAAAGCAATGCCTTACATTCATGAGATTTCCCCAAAGTACTGTGCGTAGACTCGCTGGCAAACGCGTGTAATTTCAAAACCTCACAAAGAGGTGTCAGAGAGGATTGAACGCTCCCGAAATCCAACTGCCCTCTGGTGACCAACCGTAGGATGAGGGCAGAAAAGTGGCTGTGAATGTCCCGGTGTCAGGACTGGGCGCACTGACCTGCAGTGCAGGGCGTGAGGACCCTCACCCCCCAGCACCAGACAACCCACATCTGTGACCTCCCTCACTGAGCAGACATTAACACGAACATTTATGCAAGTCTCCCTCCCAGTGACTCATGAAGGCCTCCTGTTCTTTGAGAGAGACAGCAGTTAATCTCCCGGCAAAGCCACCACCTCCAAGGGCTGTGAATCTGACAGAATGAGCCAAGGTGGTGGCAGTGGCCCCGTTGGGAAAGGCCCTGAGCAACTCCCGGGTCACCCTGCGCCCTGGCACTCACGGACTCGGCAATCCGTGCCACCGCAGACACCGTCAAGCCGAACAGATCTTCTCCTCTTAAGTAGGCTGGGAAAAGCTGGAGCATTTCAGATTTTTTCCTCACACATGCCACAGGCTCCAAAATTTTATCCCAAACACCTATGATATAGACAAAAAATTTTTTTTCTTTATGAAAAATCTGCTCTTAGGTAAACAGAGAGGAAGAAAGGATGCAGTATAAAAACAAGAGCAAAACGGAGACTGTTGACGAAGACTCACTGGGTAGAGCCCGTGGGCAGTGACCTAAAAGGCCTGCTATTACCTGCTTGTCAGATGGCAGCAGTTTTACAGACTTTAGGAATGTTGGGGGAAAAGAATATGTTACATTAAGGAAATTAAACAGTAAAAGGGGAAAAGAAAGTTCAGTATGACTAAAGTTCATGCAAGAAGGTTAACTTTCATGCTGGCCAAACAGCACATTAGATTTTCGGATGATTGGTCCAATGAAGTAAATGACACCTACAGACATGTCCTCTCCTCTCAGAGGTAAAGTGTGAAACTGATTTTTCCACTGGAATTATCTTCAGAGCATTTTCATACTTAAAA